GGGAGGGGAAGTGCCCGGCCGGCATTTTCCCGGACATGTTCGGCTTTTTGGCAATTCCCCCCGGATGGATCAAAGCAATTCCCCTCCGGCGGATCAAAGCAAGTTCAATATAACGTGGTTTCACCTATAACGCAGTAAGATTTTTTGGCTCCCGAGGACAGCGTTATATTGGGGTAAAGGTGTACATGGGATCTTTTTCAGGGGAAAAGGCAATACACCGTGTTTATTGAAGATACAATAATTAGCATAAGTATTCAATCACACCACACACTGTCCCACCAGTCAATGTTATAGTTACCAGTCCAGAGTCCATATCAATTTAGTGGCCAGCTAGGTTGATTGTGGGTAGGTAGGAACCAGGTTTTGTTGGTCACAACACATTGCTCCGGGAAAGTCTTGGCAGGACGAACCCAAAGTTTCATGACAAGGCACCCTGTTTATAGCCTATGCCACTGGGATCGTGAGAAAAAACAAACTACAAGCCACCTGGGAAGGCCCTTTCAAGGTTGTCAAGCAACTAAATGAGGTAAACTATGTGGTGGAACTAACTGGTCACACTGCCACCGGGTGTACCATGTTAATATGATGAAGCCATATTATGACAGGGGGAAATGTGGTGTTGGCTGTGTGTAGACATTGGGAGGAGCAGGGAGATGACCCTTTAGTAGATCTATTCCCTGAGACAGGAGCTGGCTCCTCCCTGGAACCAATTCCCCTCTCTGATCAGCTAACACCTGCCCAGCAAGCTGAGATCAGAGGGGTTCTGCATTTGTACCAACAGCTGCTTTCCAACCAGCCTGGATTCACTAATCTCACTGTCCACCGGTTGGAGACAGGATCACATCCTCCTATAAGATGCTCCCCCTTCCGAGTCACAGGGAAAACTGCTCAAGACCTGGAAAGAGAGGTCAGTGACATGCTGCCTTTGGGGGTGATTCAGCCATCTTCCAGCCCTTGGGCCTCACTTCTGGTGCTGGTCCCCAAAATGGACACGTCGATCTGGTTCTGTGTGGACTATCGGAAGCTTAATGCCATCACCATCAATGCCAACTTCCTGAGGTGGAGCCTGCTCCTGGAGGATTATGATATGAAGGTGGTCCATGTGAGGGGAGTGCCAATGTGGTAGCTGATGCATTGTCCTGGTGAGGGGGCCCCGAACTTCCCCAGGTCACTGGTTAGAGTGACCCCACTCAGTTCAGTCTTGAAGGGGGGAGAGATGTGACTGAGTAGGGAGTAGTTGTCATGGAGTGCGGGGAAGTCAGGGCCATGTATCCCCCACATCCTGCGATTCACTGTGACTCTCAGCCAGCCAGTAAAACAGATTTATTAGATGACAGGAACACAGTTTAAAACAGAGCTTGTAGGTACTAAAAACAGGACCTCTCACTCAGGTCCATCTTGGGGGTTGGGGAGCCAAGACCCAGGTTCTGGGCCTCCCCATGTCTCCCCAGCCAGCTCCAAACTGAAACTCCCTCCAGCAGTCTCCCCCAGCCACACACCCCGGCTTCTCCTCCAGGCTTTGTCCAGTTTCCCAGGCAGAAGGTGTCACCTGGCCCCAACCCCCTCCTGGGCTCAGGTTATGAAAGGCAGCAGACATCCTTTACGTGCTAATCGTCAAGTATCATCCCTTAGTGAAGTCACACCCTTATTTCCCATCACCATCTGGTATCAATGCAGACAGTAAACTAGTAAAACTCCCATGCAACATTATCAGGTTAATACTCCCTACTCTGTCACAGCTTGGTTATCAGAGACGATCTCCTCGGACGTGTGGCAGAACACAGTGAGGACTCTGACAAGGATGAGGCTTTGGAACAGAAAGCGAAGCTGGTGAGGATGTAGCAGCATGTGCCCGTGCGGAGTGAGCCATGACTCCTGGGGGATGTGTGTGTGTGTACGGGAGAATGTGTAGCAGCCCGTGATGCAAAGAGAAATCTATTTGGAGAGTCGTTGCGATGAAAGGGTGTGGCTGCGGCAACACTCCGCAATGGCAAAAAAGAGCTGAGGGGAGGCCCGGAAGTCACAAGTGCGCTGGAGGTAAAAGGCCAACGCCTGGTGGACATCTAGGGTTTGAAAAGCACCTTCCTGAGGGGAAGCATGCGGCTTAGGGTAGAAGGTAGGGAAATGCATGCACTGGTTGAGGTGAAACGGGGAGGCAACCTTGGTGAGGAATCTGGGATGGAGACGGAGGGAGACCTTGTCCTTATGAAAGACTGTGAAGAGGGTCGACCGTCGTGGCTGCCAGTTTGTTAACTTGTCTCACAGAGGTGACGGTCACCAAAAAGATCACCTTCATGGAAAGATGGGCAAGGGAGCAGGTTGCGAGTGGCTCAAAAGGCGTATTGGTGAGGGCGGAGAGGATGAGCTTAAGGTCCCATGAAGTACCAGGTGGGCGGCCCGCAGCTCCAGGACATTGATATGCATCCTCACCTCCCTGAGCGACCAGAGCCATGCAGTCAGCCAGATGAGTGCCCCATCCGACTAGCAAGGCATCCGTCATGAGGGGAAGGTGGGGCGTGGGAGGTGTGAAAGGGACACTGGCTAAGACCGTGGATAGGCTGCATCACCAAGTGAGAGAGGTGAGAACTGATGAGGGAATGAGGAACCGTTTGCTGAGGTGGTCGGACAGCAAGTTGTAGATGGAGTGGAGCCACATCTAGAGGCAGCGTAGATAGAGACGGGCATACGAGGTAACGGAGGTGCAGGCCGCCATATGGCCCAGATGGGAAAGGCACTGATAGATGTGTGCGCACGGGCGGCGGCAGAGCTGCACGATGAGGGCAGTAAGAGTGGCAAAGCGTTCCAAGAGAAGGAAGGCATGGGCTGCGACAGAGTCCGGGTGAGCCCCTATAAAGGTAGGGAGTGGGTAGGGGTGAGGACTGTCTTTTTCTTGTTGATACAAATCCCTAGGGTGCCGAGGAGGGCATGCAAGATCTGAGTAATGGTAAGGAGGCAGGACCAGGATGACACCATGAGCCAATCGTCCAAGTTTGGAAACACTGAGTTACCCAGGCAGTGCATGTAAGCTGCCATGACAGGAAAGACCTTTGTGAAGGCATGGGGGGGCAGTAGCAATCCCGAAGGGGAGGACCCAGAACTGGTAGTGAAAGTGGTCGACCGCGAAGCAGAACTTGCAATGAGCAGGGTGGATGTGGAAATATTTATCCTTCATTTCGAGAGCCGCGAACCAAGCTCCACGGGGAAGAGAGGGGATAATGAGGAGGAGGGTGACCATACGGAAATGGAACTTGCAAATAAATTTGTTCAGCAGCCGGAGGTCCAAGATAGAGCGAAGGCCACCCCCTTTCTTCAGCACAAGGAAATAGGAGGAGTAGAAGCCACAGCCCTGGTAGCGCTGTGGAATGAGTTCTATAGCGCCCTTCTGGAGGAGGGCATCTGCTTCCTCTCAGAAGGTGAGAATGCGATAACGTGGCAGGGTACTCCCAGGATGGGCAATTAGGTCAGAAGGAGGGGAATTCAATGAGGTAACCCCGATGTACAATGTCCAGCACCCAGCGATCGGTGGTAATCTTGCCCCAGTTGTAAGTGAAGGGGGCAAGGCAACCCCTGAAAAACACTGGTGGGGTGGTGAGAGTGGAGGGAAGAAGGTTTGCGGTTCTCAGGCTGCTTGGAGGAACGCTGAGGAATGGTAGAAGCAGGAGTAGCACTGGCGGAGTAACGGGGTCGTTGGGAGCAACGCAGAGAAGAATCTGGTGGGCACTGGGGGTAAGGCTAGTGGTAAGGCTGGTATGTGGCCCAAGGGCAGGGTCAGAAGGATGACCGTTGCTGGCAAAGGCAGGGGACAGAGTATAAAGGACCAGTGACCGAAGTGTGGCACGAGAGTCTTTGAGGGTATGCAAAGAGTCATCTGTTTTGTCATTAAACAACTTGTGGTGGTCAAAAGGGAGGTCCTCGGGGTAGTCAGGACCTCATGCAAGAAGCCGCTAGACTGGAGCCAGGAATCCTGGCGAAGGACAACTCTGGATGCCAGCGAGTGGGACGCCATATCGGCAGCATCAACTATGGCCTGGAGAGTCACCTTGACCACCAACTTTTCCTCATCTAGGAGATGTTGGAAGTCCTATTGTTTCTATGGGAGGAGGAAGGCCTGGAAGTCCATGAGCTTGGAGTATGAAAGGAAATCATGCTTGGCCAGGATGGCCTGGTAGCTGGCAATGCAGAATTGGAGACCAGAGGAGGAGTAGACCTTGAAGCCCAGGAGATCCAACTTCTTGGCGACCCAATCAGGGGACGTGGACTGCAGGTGTTGTTGGCAGGCACGCTTGGTCGTGGCTTGGACCACCAGTGAGTTGGGGGATGGGTGTGCGAAAAGAAAGTCCATGCCCTTAGGGGGCATGAAGAATCAGCATTCCACTTTGGTGTAGGGGCACTGGAGGCCGGAGTGTGCCAAATGGCCTGGGCCAGTTGTAGAAGGGCATTGTGGATACGAAGGGTGGTACATGAGTCAACAAGGGGTTGTAGGATGTCCAGGAATTAATCCTGTGGGTCTTGGACGTCTTCGACAGGTAGATTGAGGGCTGTGGCCATGCGTCGAAGTAAGTCCTGGTACTGCAAGCGGTCGGCGAGGGAGGGTGGTGGGAAGAATGATGGCATTGCCTGGAGATGAGAAGGCAGCCATATGGACCAGAGGTGGCAAAGATGCTGTTGGTGCCACCGGAGCGGGGATGGCCAGAGGTTCCTCAAAGACAGAGGGGAGGGGCTATGTATGTTGGGGACAGGCAGTGCTGCAAGCGAGATGGCATCCTGCGCTCATGGTAGGGGTTCCAGGCAGCCCAGTAGGGCCAGGCATAGGGGTCGCCAGGCATCAGCGGCACCTGCAGGTAGTGGAACCACGGGTCAGCCGGTAGAGCATACACCGGAGGGTACGATGGGAGCCAAGGGTCCAGGCTGTAGGACCATGCAGGTGAAAAGGTGGGGTCCGGTTCGCAAGACTACTCGGAATCAGAAGATGGGTCTGGTAGGGGTGAAGCTGCCGGTGCAGGAAGGATGTGATGGTCCAGGAGCAACAGAGGCGCCTCTGTGGAAGGGCCCAGCAGAGAAGGGTGGAGCGGAGCAGGAGAGACTCATCTGTGGGAGATGGCAGGCAGAGAGTGACTGGAGGCCCAGAGCCAGCAGCAGATTTTTGCTGTGAATAATGTAGCTTTTTCCAGACCTGGAAAAATAGACTCCCATGGACTTCAGTGGGCTTTGGATTGGGCCTCATACACTCATTCAAGAGGTACAAACTCTTTCAGATGTCCCCAGGTGATAGGTCTCAGGTCACAAAAGAACAGCGTATTTTGGCTTTGTAAGCAATCAACCCTTTGGATTTAGCTGCTTTCAGGACCGTCTCTGTTTTGTGCATCAGACATGGTACCAGTAACAGCATCATGTCTCATCCTGCCCCATGTACTTCTGGTCTCTATATTCTCCCTCTCTGCTTCCTCCCACAGTCTTGCTATCCCCTTCTACACACACACATTTCTCTGTCACAACACACTCCCTGCAACCAACAAGTCCTTTGCCCCACATTTCCCTGCCCTGTTCTTGCTAGTGGCTTGCAGAAAACTGGCTGGTCACATGGTGCTGGCTCAACTGGTTTTTAGCTGAAACAAAGCAGCTGGAGGGGGAGATGAAATGGAGCACAAATATAGACAGTGTGATGAACTTTTTTTTCCAAAAAGGACACAATACTTCTCATTAAAAGCTAAAAATACACTCACTCCTTTCCCAATATTACTTTTTCATGTGATTGCTGTATTTGCCATAGTGATGTTCAGGGCCGGTTCTGGCTTTTTGGCAAAAAAAACAAAAAACAAAAACCCGCGGCGGCCAGAACAGCAAAGTGGCGTGGCACGGCCAGAGCCAGGGGGACTCCCTTCCCTGCAGATGTGCCCCGGCTAGCGGGGGGAGAGAGAGAAGGGGGGCAGCCAGGGCTTCAGCGGGGTGCTGCCACGCGGCCCCTCTCGCCGTGCCGCCTGCCAGGAGGGCTCCACACCGCTCCAGTCGGCTGGGAGGGAAGGATGCAGGCTGCCCTGCCGGGCTTGCTGCAGTGCGCTCTTGTCCTTCGCACCGCCGCCCCCTACACGGCGGCTGGAGCAGAACAAAAAAAAAAAGGGTCCATGCCGCCCTAGGATTAGGCGGAATGCTTGCTTGGCTGGTGCCTGGAGCCGGCCCTGGTGATGTTATGCAGCTCTGAAAGGAAGGGGAGGTGGATCCAAATGATCACATGTGGGAGAAATGTATCCACAAGATAAACTCTTCATTAAGACATGCTTCTCATTTTGTACAAGTTTGGAAACCCCTAGTCTGCTGATTGAAGCATGGACTGGCAAGGTCAGTGGAGCTGTGTTCTGGTTCCAGCACTGGCAGACTTGCTGTAAAACCTAAGACAAATCACCTTCTTCGCTGTCTCACTTTCCCCATCTGTAAAATGGAGATACTAGTGACATGTGTAATGCTATCTAAATTCCTCAGGTGAGGGTGATATAAAAGAGCAAAGCATTTATTATTGACTGATGGCTCTTCAGCAACCTGGTGAGTTTAGAAGTCTCAATCTAGATGGGCATCCCCATTCCAGGAACCACCACAATTGACCCTCTTGTTGAAAGTGTCAGCAGAAAGGCCAAGAATAGAATTGGTCTTGGCAAATGATCCTGTATCATCCCAGACCTGTTCTTTCTGGGTCAGGGGTGAGAAACTTTGGAAAGGTAGCATGGGAAACCTGCTCACCTGGGGAGACCTGTCAGTCAAGGTTATCAATCTAGAACTTTTCACCATCAGATTAATTCATGAAAGCATAAGGTTTTTTAATTTTACTAATTCCTTTTTGAGGGGTGGTAGCTTTATCACCTGGAGCATAGCTTCTGGGAATAAAGCACTGTCTATACTGGTGCTTTTCAGTGCTAAAACTTTTGTTGCTCAGGGGGGTGTTTTTTCACACCCCTGAATGATAAAAGCTTTAGTGCTGAAAGTAGCACTGTAGACACAGCCTAAGAATTATAGGCATGACTTGACCTGTTCCTCTTCCCTGTTTAAAGATAGAGCTGATCAGCCCCCATTCAGTCTTTTAAGTGACCACTGGAGCTGAAATCACTGATAATCAGGTCTAAGTGCTTAGACCTGCTGAGGGACAGGGTTTCGGGGGGGGGGGGCAGGAGGGGAGAGAGACTAACCAGCCTGCATGAGACTAACAGAGCTGGGTGGAACCTCAAGAGACCAACTCACCGAGGACCCAGTAGAGAGGCAGGTGAGGTGGTAGTAAAAGTAACCATTGGTTACTTGGCACAAGGCCATTGGTGACTTGAGCAGATGATGGCACAATGGAGTGAATGGTGGCATGAATCACAGCATGCTGAATGATGGCACAGCTCCACGCAGAGTGAATGGAGACAACTGTAAGCCAGTTGAGGTGGCACTGCTCAATGTTTCTTCCCCTGCCCCCTTTCTGGGTGGGAGATAAACTCATGTGAATGCACCTCTCAACTCTGTGTCTCTGCTGACCAAGGAGAGCTGTGAGTGGGGTGTGGTGGAGGGAGAGGGGAGTGGTATGTTAAAGGGACATTTGTTGGACTTAAACACTACAAGGTGAGAAAGGGAGACAAAGGACACTGCCCAAAGGACTCTGGGACAGGAGTGTTGCTCATGGTCAGATGTGTTCGAATCATGATTGTGGCGTTTTCCAAAATTAATGCCAGGCTCCTTTCCTCTTCTTACTAAATGTTTTCTCTGCTCTACAGAGACTCAGTGTTTGCCAGGAGGAAGTACTGCCTCTTAGAGGCGGCTGGGATAGTGCTTAATTTCCCCAGATTACTGGGTGAGGGCTCAGGCCAGTTCTGTGTTGTACTGTTAAGAAGGAGCCCTGGATATTGAGCCCGGCCCTTTTTGCTGCCAGCTCCACCTGGCAAAAGGATCACACCGTTGTCTCCACCCCGCGCTCTTCTGCTTGGGGGAAGAGACCCGCTAGTGTCTTCAAGGGCCAACCAGCAAAGCACCTGCCCCTTCCCCCTCCAGGGTGGGCGGCCTCGCTTCCTGCCCCCCCTCCCCCAGCTTCCCGGGGTTCTGCGGCCTTCCTCGCTGCCCACGGGGCTCTGTGCTTCCCAGCAGGCTCGGTTCCCCCCATTCTCTGCCTTTCTCAACGCGCCTGTCCTCCCGACCCGCAGGGGCTCCCCCGCCTGCACTCACACGCTGCATGGGAAGGGGCACGGCTGGCCTGCTACTGGCAGCAAATTACATCAGAGAGCAGTTTTTGCAATCCCTTACATACGGGTAACTGCTGCAGGAGTTTCTCGCACTGCACCCGCCGGCGCTGGGTAATGCCGCGGAAGGCGATTTAGAAGTTCCGGTCGGACGGTGTCCCTGAGAGCTCCTGCCCCCCAGTCCCAGCGACCTACAAGCGCGAACCACAAACTGCCCTGATTCGAATTCGCATCCTGAGCGCCCAATGACAGGACGGAGGGCGGGGCCGCGGCCACGATATCCCCGCCCTGTCAGCATACTGACCAATGACAGCTCCAGCTGGGTTTGAAAAAAAGTGCGCGCGGCTAGTGGGCGGGGTCTTTCTCTGGTGGCAGGGCCCGCGCGGGGAGTGGAGAGACGGATATCCGGCGCGCTCGGGGCGTAGCCTATCCTGAAGGGGCGGTTCCTGGGTGGGGCCTCCCGCTCGCTCTTTCCCTGACCCGCATTGATACCGGAGAAAGGCATGGGGGCGGGGCCCAGCTGGAACCCCGCCCTAACCCCTCTTTCTCCGCCCCTGGCCCCGGGACCGCGACTTGGGCTCATTTGGACCCGGCCGGCTTGCGGGCGCGGTGGTGGTTGGTGGCAGCTCGGTTCCCTGGGGACTCGCACCGCAGCGCGGAGGGGCAGGAATGAAAGTGGGCGGTGAGCGTCCTCCACGCCCCTGGGCGGGTTGGGGCCTCTATGGGGAGTTGGGGGTCTCTCTGCGGTGGGTGGGGCCCCTCTGTGGTGAGTGTAGGACGATGGGGCCCTGTGGGGCGAGGGGTCCTTCTGGGGAGTGGGGTCCTTCTGCTGTGGGTGGGGGGTCCTGCAGGAGCTGGGTTGCCAGCCAGTGGTTAGGGGGCTCCAGCCCCAGTTTTGGCAGAACTCAATGCTCCTCATGTGGGGTTAAGGCCAGGGCGGGGGCTTTGCCGGCTCGGTTGTCTAGTTTCTGGTGGGGATCGTGGGGGTTCCCTGGGACGGGTAATGCTCCCTCTCTGCTGGATGATCCTCTAAGCCTCAGATGCTAAATTTTCAGACTTGACACATGAGGGCTGTGAAATGTCTGAAATACCCCTGCCAGGATCCTACCAACTTCCTCACCACCCCCGCCCCCCATCAGATGGGCTTAAACCCCTGCAACCTCCCCTTCCATTTTCCTCAGACGGTATCTGGCAGTGGCACCTCCTAATTTTCCTTTTTACTTCTCCCCCTGTGTTCAGAGGGTGTGTTTTAGATTTTATTTTTAAATTCCAAAGAGAGGGAGCCCCACTGGTTTAGGCGGGTGGATTTAAAAATCAACCGAGCCTATAGTGGGACAGGACCTGCCTGCAGGGGGAGGGGACTCACTCGGGGCTCCTGCATGGGCACCCAGGACATTAGAAAAGAGCTACCAGTCTTATCTTGGCCACTTCGGGTTTCTCATCGACCAGAGCCTTTCACATAAATTATAAAGGAAGGTTATAATTATTAAATGGAGGAAAGGCTGCAGGCTTTTCAAGGAGCAGATGAGATTTTTGCTTCAGAAAGGCAGGGTGTTTGAATGAATGAAAGGAGAGATTTTAATAAAAATAATTTAAAAAAAATAATTAAAAATGAGAGATTTTTGATATTTCAGGCTGATCACAGGACTAGAAATCAGACTACAGGATTGCAGTTTACTGCTTTAAATAGAAGTCTCCTTTTATCAAGGTTTGATTTTTGCCATGACAGTAAAATCTAAACTTGAAATATGACATTTAAGCAACCCCACACTCTTTCATGTCCAAATATCATTCTAGTTGTTTAATGTAATAATAGCTTACGTTTCTGGAGTGCCTTTTATCATGCAGGATACCAAAATGCTTTACAAACTGCAATATTCATTGCTAATTTAATATGTCTTTCTCTGGGTTGAGGATAGCAGCTAACTGGCATATTTATGGAGGGAAGAGAGCATGTATGGCCTAAGGCATGGGGGCAAGCTCCCCTACTTTTACAAAAGTACTATAAGGACTCGTATGTTCAGAGCAGACAAAACTTGCTTTTTTATGGTCTGTGCCTAGTAAAATGCTTGGCACTCTGCCTATTTAATTCATCTAATGAATTATTTTTTTTGCCAAAAACTATAAATGGGTTTTTGGCAAAACGATAAATGATTTTTTAAATTACACTTTCTGCATTAATGGGACAGAATTTGTATACTTCGCCCAAGTTTAATATCTTCTGGTTCTATGGGGTACGTAACCGCTTCTAAAATACACTATCTTTGCTTGCCAAATGTACTTTGGAATGCTTCAGTTACTTAATCGGTATCTGAATTTAAAATATTAGAAATGCAGCTTGTGTACACAATGTAGATATGTCTGTAGTATATGGGGTTATTTTAAAGTATAGCCATCCTAATATAAATTCTGGGCTACTAGAGCTGTACTGTCCGCCATCTAGTCTTGCTTCAATTTCCTGGGCTGTTCAGTCAGTTTTGGTTCTGAATACAGGCTTAATTGGCATGCCAGTCTAGAGATGCAATGCCACTTACATTGCAGTAGTTCTCTTGCTGAAATCGGAGGTGGGGGAAAGGAACACCTATGAGAATAATAATCTGGTGATTTGTGCATGTCAAAATTGCCCTTAATTACATGGATATAGTCTTTTAGTCAAAGGTAACTAATAGGTAAGCCAAAGGCTATCTGGGGAGAATGGGGCATTGAGTTAGACTAGTAGCTCATTTCATTGTTGATCTTGGAAACTCCAAAGAGTTAATAGGATACATATTCATTTTGGCATAAAAGGATATTCTAGGTGGCCCATTGCTTTTTTTTTGCCTAGACAGATACCTATAAATTTGCACTGGGAAATACCCAGTTGTGGGGACTGTCTTTAGCTTAGCTGGTGCCCGCGGCCCTATAATTAAAAATGATCAAGTCCCTGCAGCTGCTTGGCTTGTTTTCTTTATTTAATTTCATGTATGATTTGTTTGTGGTTTGGTACATTTTGTTATATTACCTCTCTGACTTTTATTATTCTGTAAATTTACACTTATTTTAAAACATTTTTAATACCACGGATTGGAAATTAACTGATAGAACAGTGGACAAGGAAAATCATTAATTCCTGCAAGTGGAATATCACTGGGGTCACTAGTGGGACCCATATTTTTCATGACTGATCTTGAAGAAAACCCAGCTAATTAGACTTCCCAGTTAAACTATCATTGTATAAAAAGACCTACAAACCGGATTTGAAAAATACACCTGACGTTGCCAAGCAGGAAATGTTCCATGGTGAGAAGAACAGCCCTAATCCATCAATTTGCAGAAAAGTTGGGGGATCTGTGTGTTTTTCTAGCCTTTATGGCTGCAAAGATAACTTTCCAAATGTGACACAGAGCAGAGCAAACAGACTGCTCCATCACTTGCTCTGTCTGCTGCTCAGAGCCCTATCAAGCAGCAGCAGAATGAAACTGGCAAGTCTCTGGTCCCTGCTGCTCTTCAGAGTGGGCAGCAGTGAAATTGACAAGATTCATGTCATTTTCACTCCACTGCTGTTTGGCAAAGCTCTGAGCAGCAGCCCGGGCAGGTACTGGGGCTGTTTGCTGGGGAGGAAAATCCCAAAAGAAAGCTGTGTGGTGATGAGGGATCCCTGTCATGTAGTTCAGGGCTTAAGGTGAGAGTCCTTTTCCCTTCTAGCAGGTCAAGGTGTTTCAAATTTCTGACACCTACTATTCAGACTGCTACAAAAGATGCCATTCTTGAGCAGAATCCAGGGCCAGCATCTCAGTAGAAATCCGAACACCTCGCCCTTCCCAGCAAGTGGGAGCACTACTGGACTTCTCACTAGAGTATTGCCCCTGAATCTCTCTAGTGAGCCCTCTCTCTCTATCATTAGCTTTTGTCTCTGCCTCTAGTTAACTTAGTCCTTTGGCTAGCAGGTGCAGGGTGAACTTTCCTGTCCCTCCTTAGGAGGAGCAAGTAAGGGAACAGAATATATATAGAACAGACACTAGTCTAAATAAAATATCACAAGGAACCAATGCATGAAGGAAGGACTTGAATCTCTGAAGATGGTATTTCAAGGAGCAGTGAAAGGAGGCTATGGAAAGGAATAGGAAAATATTAACAGGAAAAAAAAATTAAGGCGACTGGCCACATCACTGATGTTATTCCAGCACATTAACTACTGCATGAATGGGAATCGCATACGGAGGAAGTTTGCACAATGGAGGATGTTGGGCTAAATGGCCCAAGTGATCTCTTCTGGCCCTGTCAATTTAATTATTTTTATTTTAGTTGGTTAGTGATCCCGTTTTATACATGATTATGCAATTGAGTTGCTATCGTATCAAAGTCTAGAATTCTTTTTACTTTCCATTTCATTGAAGAAACAACATAACTTTTCCTGCAGTAGAGCAGGCTCAGTAACACCAATCACTTTCATGATAATATGTGGACTAGTATTCTTTACAGCTGTCATCTTTTGTCCTGAAATTTCGACTTGATGGTGCTCTTTCACTAACTAAGATGTCTGGGCTTTTTGTTTTTTCTAGTAATCCACTGTAGATGTTCCAGGTGTTTTTCTTTCCCTTCAAAACGAAGGGTAAGAAAACGGCCTCGAGTCCTGACATTACTGAGTCTCCCTGAAGACGTTCTGTTTCATGTTCTGAAAGGCCTTCCTGCTGAGGATATCCTCTCCATCCGAGCTGTGAGTCTGCTAACCCACTTCACCCCTGTAACGGGATGGGGTTTACCTCTGTCAGTGTGATGCCCTGGCTCCCAATGGCAGGACTGGACACGGGGAAGGCTGGATCCTCATGGCAGAGCAAATCTAACTACTGTATGTATTCTTTCAGTTTTCCTTCAGATCTCTGCCATCGTGGTAGCAGTTTTGTTGCTAAACCTCTCAGGATTGAGGATTAGCAGCAGTATTTGAGTGTTTTGTTTAAATTTTCCAGAGGGAGCTATCCTGACAAATCATTCTGACTGAACAGTTTGGTTCAGTTGAGGATGCTTATCTTATTTTCCAAAATTGACTTTTGTCTATCTAATTAATTAATGTAAATACATTAATAGTTGTACAAATAGTTGTACAAAAATCTACCGGTGCCATGTTAATATGGCTATAACAGTAGACCATAAGAACGATTTTTCGGTGGATCCCTATATGTTGTAGTAATGTACTTCTGTATTTTTCCCCCTAGGTGCACTCGCATCTTAAGTACCTTGTAGATAATCATGCTAGTGTTTGGGCATGTGCAAGTTTTCAAGAAGTTTGGCCTTCTCCAAAAAATCTGAAGATGTTTGAAAGGTAATGTATAGGAATCCAGGCATGGTCTATTCATTAGGGGAGATTTTCAAAGGTGCAGAGGAAA